AATTGAAATACTTGGCGTTTTTTTCACATGTTTTATGGTCAGTGTTGTATCATCTACAACGAATTGAGAAAATGCCAGTGTTTGTGTATGTTTGCCATTGAGAAAGACAATAAAATGGTTTTTGAGAAGACTTTTTGAAAGTATAGGATTCAAGTATGTGAAGAAAATACCCTTTTGTCTTAACACATTTTAAAAGGAAAGTGTTGTATGTATATAAAAGCTGTGGAAGCATACTTACTGAGCTTGAAATAGGTTTGCAGATTTCCATGGCAAATCTGATTTACATGGCTTGAACATTTCTCTTTTTTACTTTTTGTCATTTCACAAACTTTGCCAGTCCCTAAAGATCTACTTGGAAACTCACTGTGCTAATAGGCAAGGTTGGCCTTTCCTGAGCTTCTCTTAAAGTAGCCCATCCTGAAACACTGACCTTTTAATTTAATAACAGTTTTATTTGAGAAAATGTTCAGATCCTGAGAGCTGGAAAGAATGTTTTTGGAAAGGCCATTTTAAATAGTGGTCTCCACATGGTATATCTTTTTCCCTTCTGTGCTTTGGACCAAACCCATCAGAAGAAATAATATATTGTTGCTTTCTGTATTCTGTTGATTTAAAAACAAATAACATGAAACTTAGATTTGCTCAAAACTCATTACTATACTGGTTTACTTCCCTGCCTTGGCTTTGATTTGCTATTTTAGATTTTAAACTCTTTATGCTAGGTCATGTTTTATCTTTTGTTACTTTAAATTCTCACTTGTAGCTAAGGTAATTACTTTTTCAGCTGTGACCTTGGATGTGAGACCCAAAATTGTATTTTTTTCTTCTTTTTTCTTTTCCAGAAATAGCTGGGGCGTTAGAAAGACAGCTGTGCTTTGGTCTCTTTACTGACAAAAAGTGATGTCAACCAGTTGGTCCCTTGGGCACATCTTCTTCAGTGGCCTCAGGAGTTTCTGGCTCTTTGCATCACTTTGTGGTGCTTTCTCACTCCCACCTCTTTCCCTTGTAGCCTACCTAGATGACATCACCAGTGACCTCCATCTGTTTCTCACCTCACCCCTGGCAGGTGGTGGGGCTGACAGGATAGTCAGGATGGTATAGAGAAAGAGGACAGGCCTTGAAGCCACACTTTCCTTCTCTGCATTCTCTCTTGCATGGCTTCCTTCCCAACTTCCCAGCTGGTCGCCATTTGGTAATGGAGTCCTTACTGTTCCATTTTAGGTTTATCACATCATCATAAAAAGCTCTCTGCTGACTTTGGCTTTTCCTGTAGTTGGAAGCCCCTATATAAGCGGCATAAAATGCACCATGAAGACCTGGAGACTTATTAGCTCACTTAGAAAACTGATCCCATTTCTGCATACTAAGACCTGGTATGCTGAGGTTTCTTTCACTGAAGCCTAGTTCTAATTGTTGGAATGAAATTCACGTGAATTGTGATTGAGACTTTGATTGAATTTTGCCTGAGAAAAATGTTGCTGTGGTCATTTGAAAAAATCCAGGGGGAAGCGGTGTGATTGTACATATCAGCCTCACTCTGTAGATTCTGCCTGGTATGGGAAACTTAAGAGTATAGTTTGTGTAGTATTAGTTGGGTTAAATATTTATTTCAGTTTTTGCTACTAATTAGAGCTACCAGCTGTGAACAACTTGAAAAAGTGTAGTGTGATGTTGTTTTGCTTGTTTATGAGAAGTAGCTGAAAATGTGAAAATTATCACCTTGTGGAGTGCATAGTCTAGAACTTCATGGCCAGCTGACCCCCATGTAACCCAGCAGGTCCTGGTTTTGGATGAGAAAATCAAAACTCAGGTAGATTACCTGATTGATCCAAAGTCTAGCTGATGGAAAAACAAAGACTGTTTGGACTCTTTGCTGGGCTATTACTGTCTGTAACGTCTCTGCTGGTGTTTGTATTATTTTAAACCTTTAATACTGAAAAAATCTTTAAGATTTGCCTGAATGCAGACAGAATTCTCTGTGCTAGTTTTTTTCTTGATTTTATGTGACCTTTTCAAAGCCAAGACTTGTATCTTTCTCATATTATAGACTGTGAAGTAGGAGAGAAGACAATCAGCAGCATAGTATATAGATCAAAGGGACTCTGGAGAACGTCCAGTTGAGAACAGCCTTTTGAGGAAAACTGTACAGAGAGGCTAGTAACTTTCATCCCAGGTCCTCCAGATTGTTGATGGCCAAGCTTGGATTAAACCTCAATTAGTATTTATTCCTTTCTCTGATTCCTTGTTCATTATTCTGTTTTTATATTATTTTCTTTTTTCTTTTTATAGCTGTATTGAGATGGATATACATTTTGTTTATCTATTCATCAGTGGATGGGCAGTTAGGTTGTTTTTCACTTTTGGGATATTGTGAATACTGCTGTAAATATTTTCAATTCTCTTGAGTATATATACAGTACCTAAATGTGGAATTGCTAGATCACATGGCAACTGCGTTTGGCATTTTGAGGAACTGCCAAAGTGTGTTCTGTGGTGGCCACATTATTTTACATTCCCACCAGCAATGTATCAAGGTTCCGATTTCTTCACATTCTCACCAACACTTGTTAATGCTTGTCTTTTTGATTTTACTAGGTTTGAATTGGTGTATCATCATGGTTTTGATTTGTGTTTCCCTGATGATGAATGCCGTTGAGCCATGTTTCATGTGCTTATTGGCCACTTGTATTATCTTTTTTAGAGAAATACCTGTTTCTGTCCTTTGCCCATTTTTAATTTTGTTGTCTTTTTGTTTATGTATTTTGGATACAAGTCTCCTGTCAGCGATATGATTTGCCAGAATTTTCTCCCATTCTGTGGCTTGTCTTTTCACCTTGATGGTGTCCTTTGGTGCTGTTTTTGTTTTCTGATAATCCACACCTAAGAGAACATGTCCTTATTACCTTTCCTATATCTTCATTGTCATTACCCAGTGTCAGCAAAATTTTATTTTATTTTTTATTATTTTTAAAATT